GGCACAGCTGCTGTTAGAACCCCATTTCCAAGATGAGGAAACTGAGTCACGAGAGTGACGTAACTTGAGAGCTGAGCCCACGCCGCACGGTGCAGCCTGGGGCTGACCCCTGAGCTGGCCGGCTGTGGGGCGGGGGGCAGCTGTGGCATTGGACAGAATTGCAGGGCGGCCCATCTGTCACCCCAGCGGTCTGTGCCTGTGCCACCCTGACCGCCCGTAAAGGCCGCAACTGAACGGAGCCTTTCTGGGGCAGAGCAGAACCTACTCGCTCTTTGGAGACTGACAATTGTGGTTCATCTTCGTGTCCATGTGCCTGAGAACAGTCGCCAGGACGCTTTGCTGGGAGCGTTTGAAGCTGGGCAGGGGGATTCGGGAAGGGGCACAGCCGACCAGGGGCCCGGCGCTGCGGGGAGTGTGTCCAGGAGGGGGCGCTCGTTGGCACCTTGCCAGTCCCAGCTCCCGGCTCCCAAGGAGCCTCCCACCTGTTAGGAGAGAGTTGGCCCCCAAGAACTGCCCTTGCTGGCTTATCCCACAAGCCATGGCTTCTTAGAGACCTACTTCGTTCCCAGAGCCCTGTCCTGGGGTGTTCAGAGGACAAGGAGGAGAGACGGGGTTGGGGCTTTCCCAAGCCTGGAATCGCTCGGTGTGACTCACGGGATGAGGAGCTTTTAACGGTACGCCTCGGGGTTTTCCACGCTGCGAGGACCTCGCGGGGGCTGTCCAGGCGTCCTTCAACCCTCTCTTCCGGGACTCATCAGGCAGGGCGTGCGCCCATGAACACGGGAAGGGAAAGGCGATTTTCGGAGGAAACCGTGGTCTGGATCCAACTGGAGCTCATCTCGCTGGACCTGTGTGTCCTCATCCCCGTGGCCTCGCCAGGCCAAGAGGCTTCACGTCAGCCTCCGGGGGCCGCGCGGGGCCGGCTCCTGCCCCATCACCAGGCTCAGCGTGGGTTCTGGACGTGCCTCCCCATCCCCGTACGGTGGGTCCTGTGCTGAGCGCCCAGGTTTCTGAGGAAGGTTAGGCGCAGAAGCTGCTCTAGCGGGGATGCCTCCCTCGCGCGCAGGGTGGGGGTGTGGGGACGGTGGCCTGTGGCCGGAAGCTGCCCATCACTGCCCGGGGGTGGGCACAGTCCGCCTAGCTGGACTCACACGGACGACCTGCGCACAGCCCCCCGGGGAGGTCTGTCGCTACTCGTCTCTGCAGGTGTGCGTGGCTAACGGGCAGCTGCTGCCACTGCAGTGTGAGTTCTGCCTCTCGACCGTCAGCCGCACGCTTCCTGCTCGCTCCCTCGGTCATGGCCGTTCTCCATGGCAAACGGCAGCCGGGAGACACTGCTGCTGCCCCTCTTGGTCCGGGAGGGGCGGGGCGTGACGGGCCTGTCCTCCACGTGGTCTTGGGGAGGGGGTTCAGGTGGTCCAAAGTCACACCATCAGCTGGACAGAGGCTGTTTCCGCGGTGCCTTGCAGCTGGTGGAGAAGGACACCTCGGGCGTCATTTCTGATCAATAGTATGTGTGCAGGAGTGCATTTGGCATGTCGGCGTGCACACGCGTGTAGGTCTTTTTCTCTTTGCTGTCTGGCCGGTGCACTGCTCAGGGATGAGCTGCCCGTGGCAGCTGGTTGATGAGTGTGTGAAGCCCTAACCCTCCTGGGAGGCAGGCCCGAGTCTGAGGGGAGGAGGCCAGGCAGCCTGTAGGGTGAGACGGACAGCGGAGGTGGGAGGTCCCCTGGAGACGTGCCTGTGGCCCGGGGACGTCCAGCTCCCTCCAGGCACCCACAGCTCCATCCCGTCTGAGGGACGCTTGCAGCTGGGCCCCGCGAGGCTCCCCAGGCCCGGGCAGCTGGCCTCCTTCCGAGGAGACCTTTGGCTGGACTCTCCTGCCCAGCCCGAGTGGGGGTGGGGGGGTAGGCCGTGGTTTTGCGGCCTGGGACTTGGCGCCCGCCACGCTCGGCCGGGTCCCTTCTCTGGCTGGGCCTCTGTCCCAGAATGACCCCGGCTGTCCTCCTGCGGGCTCCCAACAGAACAACCCTGGTGGCCTTCATTCCAGACACGGGCCCGCGGGCCCTGAAGGGGGCGCTGTGGCTTCTCTCTCCTTCATTGCCTGTGTTTGTGACATTTGAAGCAGCCAACAGCCGGGATCTCGGTCCCGTGTCACCGTGTGAGCTGGCTGAGGGGCCGCAGGAGGAGGCTGACCCCCGGGACCGGCACCGTCCCATGTGCTGAGCTGGGTAGTTCGGAACCAGGGCCATCAGCATGAGAGCCAGGGCGGAGCAGGTGCCCAAGGGGGGTGCCATCCCCTGCACCCCCCCACCCACAGGGAGCCAGGCCCCTCTGGGGGCAGCGGGGCTGCTGCTCGGGGGGCAGCTGGTGAGGGGCGGAGCGGTCCGAGCTCAGGGCCCATCAGGGAGGCTTCTGCCTCCGAGCGCCGTGCTGGGTCGAGATCCTTCTGAGTCCCAGAACCTAACTCTGTAGTTGCCATTTTAGGTTTCTTTTTACTTTATTTTATCAGTATTTTTTAAACCCTGTGTATTGATTTGAGACAGACAGAGTCACCTCTGTTGCTTGCCTCCCGCATGCGCCCTGGTGGGGGGGTGAACCTGCAGCCGGAGTCGCAGGCCCCGCTGCGATTTCGAGTCCTGAGTAGAGAGACAGGTGTCGTCCCGTCGGTCCGCGCGTGTCCAGATGGCCGGGCTCCAGCTGCCGAGGTGACCTGTCCAGGGTCTCAGCTCAGGTCACTCTGCACTGGGAAAGCTCTGGCCGTTACTGGGTGTCCTGCCCCTCGTCCCACTTGTCCAGACTCGAGACGGGTGCCCTTTTGCGCCGCCCACCTGCCCTGTAGGAGGGCATGCGTCTGGTGACCTGTGCCCCTGACAGTGACTTTTCCCAGGGTCCTGTCCTCTCCCTGGTCAGGGGAGCCCTCGGCCTCCCCCCACTGGGATGTGCCCCCACTGTGTACATTTTATAGCCGGAAAGGGCCAGACAGAGCCGGGCGCCGGGCTCCTCTGACCGAGGTTGCAGTGGGGCAGCGGGGTTACCGGGGTCACGGGGCACACCGGCTTCAACATGGACAGACGGACAGACGAACAGATGGAGACTCTCCGGGGGAGCTGGGAGGGAGGAGACCTCAGTAGAGCTTGAGAATCCAGAGAAAGCGGGAGTCCGTCGGGCAGGGCTGTGGGCGTGTGTGCACGTGTGTGTGTACGTGTATATGTGTGTGTGTGTGTGTGTGTGTGTTTGGGGCCGTCTCCTGCCAAACCCAGCACATCCGCCTGCCTGTTTGCTGACTGGGAAAGGCTCCCCAGGGGCTCCTCCCTGCTCTCGACTCGGAGATGGAAATGACTAGGCAGAAAGGAAAGCCGAGTGTCCAGTGACCCCTGAAGTGACCATGTGGCCCCAAAGCCTGCGGGTCCCTGTCCCCACCAAGGCCTGGTCTCCCAGGTGTGCCAGCCCAGGTGCTGCAGGGCCATGCCCTCGGTGCCCAGGGTCCCTGCTCCAGCACTGCCTGGGCCCGTCACCTGGTGGCCCCTGCCCAGCCCGCGCCCCAGGCCCACCTGGGCGGGAAGGCCTGCCAGGCTTGGGCAAGGCTGTGGGCTGCCGGCCGGGGGGGCCGGCCCCTCCTTTCTGGCCCCGTCACAGGCCCAGCGAGATGGTCCCTGCAGAAATTGGCGACTCGGGTCAGGGCCAGCAGCCCGTAGGGACAGTGCCTGAGAGGGCGGCTGGACCTCCTCAGGCAGCTGGGAGGGCTGAGTGACCGCCGAGCAGGTGACGGGCTGGTGCTCGCCCACAGCCGGACCTGCTGTCTCTGAGGTTTGTGGCGCGTGTCCTTCCCTGGGCGTGAGTGTGGGGACTCGTTGGCACCCTGCTGCCATGGTGACCGGCACAAGGAGGCCTGGTTCTGCCCTGTCCCCGGCGACGCCACGAACCCACACCCCTCCCCTTGTCCTCGGAAGAAACACAGGGCGTCTGCCCTGCTTGGGGAGGGCGGGGAGAGCGTCTGTGGGAATTATCTAGAATTCTCTCCATGGGGAGTCTGTGTCTTCATCCTCACTGGTCGGTTCAGTCCTTTGGGTCAGCGTGGCGGTGTGGATGTCCAGTTCGCACCCTGAGTTGCAATCCAGGACCACCTCATTTATTTTTGCTCACATTGCCCCAGCCTTGGCCGCTGGGAATCTCTCCTGGGTTCAGGGTCCCTTGGACACGTCCCTGGGAGTGTGTGTGTGGGTGCCACCTCCATTTCTCACCCTGGAGGGGTCTCCGGGCCCCTCCTGTGCATCTCACCCCCGTGCGAGATTGGGCCGTGTCTCCTAGGAACCCTGCTGCTCTCACTGGTGTGGGTGCTGGGCGTGAGGTCTGGACATTGGGTCGGCTCGTCACTCTCAGGGTGTCACTGTTTTCGACCCGCTCGGCTGACGCAGCGAGGCGTCCCAGGTGTGTACACTCCCTGTGCGCACGCACACACACACACACACACACACACACACAAGACTCTGCACACGTCTCCACCCGCACCTGCCTCTGCTGAGTAAATGTGAGATTGCACCAATGCCTGGCTCTGACCCACCACGGAGCGGCCCTTCTGGGGAAGATAAAAACTCAGGGGGCTGCTCACCCCTCGTGAGGCAGGATGCCGCCGGCCTTGCCACTTAGGAAAGGCGCACACGTTAAAATCACTGAGGCTGGAATCCACATCAGGATGACTTGGATGTTACAGGTGTAAGTTTCGCCGTCTCACCGCCCAGTTTGGGTAAATGTAGCCTCGGCGACACCACACCTGCCTGGAGGCTGGCTCAGTCCAGTCCCGCGGGCCTGTGGGACCCCCGAGGCTCCGTGGCAGCCGACAGCGCCTTCAGCTCCCGGGGCGGTGATCGAAGCCCTAGGCACAGAAACGGGCCCTGGGAACCCGGGTGACCGGGTGCGCGGCGGCCTCATGGTGCGGCCTCACCTCACTCACGTCCTCTCCTTCTCTCTCTGGCTCCCCGTGGCCCTGGTGGCTGCAGGCTCCAGGTCGGTCGCCGCCCCGGAGATGACCCCACTCCCCAGGATGCCCCTGGCGCCGATCCTGCTGCTGCTCGTCTGGAGTTCTGCCGAAGCTCAGGTCAACCCAGGTAACAGGCCGCCGCGCCACCGCGCGCTGCCCACGCAGCCTGATTCCAACAGGAAAGCCCCCCCCCCCCCCCCCCCGCACCCCCGCTCCAGGGGATGGCTCGGCCAGGGGCGTCGCAGGAGCGGTGGAGGGTTGCTCCCTGGGGCTCACTGAACCCTGGGAGGGGCTCCAGGGTCCCACAAGCCGGGTGTGAGGAAACCTATGGAGAATGGGGGTGGAGTCCTAGCTGGTGTGGCTCAGTAGACTGGGCACTGTACTGGAACTAAAGGGTCACTGGTTCAATTCCCAGTCATGCCTGGGTTGTGGGCCAGGTCCCCAGTAGGGGGCGCTCCAGAGGCAACCGCACATTGATGTTTCTCTCCCTCCCTTTCTTCCTCCTTTCTCCTCTGTCTAAACAAATAAATACAATCTTAGAAAAGAAAAGAAAACAGAGGCGGAGGAAGGGCCCATTTCTTCTGCACCTTTGAGAACCGCCGGGGCAGATTTCCAGGTGCCTCGGGGACCCCTGCAGGCTGGTTCTCCAGGCGCCCTTGGGTGGCTCAGGCCTGCGTTCCCCGTGTGCGTCGCGGGCTGCCGTGGGGGCCCGGTCCTGCGGGATCTCAGGCAGGTTCTCCTTCCCGCACGGAGCGGCATGGTCCAGAGTAACGCGTTCAGAGGGATCTTTCCCTCCCGCCACCCCTCCCCCTGCATATTTTTATTACACGCAATTTTACATTGAAATTGACGCAGACAACAGGACGGCCTGTCCGTTACCATGGTGATGGCGCTTGACCACCCGTAGAAAGGTGGGCCCTGGAGAGACTGCTTCCGGGGCTCCCGTCGGCGCAGCCACACCCCCGGTGTGAGACGCCGGCGCAGACAGGCGGGTGCGGGGCTGTGACGCCCGCTGGCGGGCCGGTACGTGTGTGCGTGTGTGCGTGTGTGCGTGTGTGTGTGTGAAGGTCGCTCCGCAGCCAGAGCAGAAGCAGGAGCGTGTGTCAGCGGTCACGGCCGCGCCAGAGTCTAGTCCGCTGGGGTTTCCACAGCCTGTCTCCGGGCCAGGCCCAGAGTCAGTGCGGCCGGAAGACGCTCGGGGATGGGCAGGGACATGGCCGCCTCTGCGCTCTGCCCCACGTGCAGATGTAGGAACGTGCATGTGGCACACGCGTGTTCCGTGTGACGGATTTTACAGGTGGCACGCCAGCTGGGCGGCACCCGGACGGGGGCACAGTGCCTGCAGCCCGACCCCTTCCCCTTCCACCCGGCGTCCCTGCCCCGTGGGGCTGGCTTTGCAACTCACGTAAATGGAATCCTACAGTGTGAAAACTCCCTTTCATGTCTGGCTCCTTTCACTGGGCGTTTCCTTTGCGATGGTTCACGTTGTCCTGTGACATTACTCTGGGCACGCTTCATTCGTGCGGTTTGCCGCCGTGGGACCGTGGGTCACTCCCAGGCTGGGCCCGTTAGAACCAACCCTCTTGCCATCACGCCTGCATCCCTCTCCGGTGGAAGTGCGGGCTGGTCTGTCTGGGGCAGCGCCCACAGTGGGGCTCCTGGGTCGTGTGCTGCCTGTGACCTTTTTCCACCCACGGCCACCGAGTCCCCCTGGGGGCCTCTGCTCCTCCGCCGGCCACGCAGTCAGGGGGAGTTGCGGCCCCTTCGGGGCTGCGATTCCTGAGGGCCGTGTTCATTGTTCCCTCCATGTAGTAGGGAGTCATTTGTGAAAATCCCCACCACCCCGTCCCCCTCCCACAAACTCCACTTCCACTCGATTTCTAGTCAAGATGAGTTGTGGCCAGAACTCCTTAAACGCAAAGATCGTGGTGCTTTAATGAAGCCCGCACCCCGTGGCTTCCCCGGATGTGCCGGCGGGCTCTCTCACCCTACCCTTTATCTGCTCTTGCCGCTGGGAGACCTGCTTGCCACTCCTGCCACCCCTGCGTGCCTGCTGTGGTCCTTGGTCCTGTCCTCGCCCTGCAGCTGGGGGAAAGTCACTGTGTGTGCCAGGGGGTGGGGGGTGCACCAGCTGCTGGCACAGCCATGGGGACGGGGCGCTGTGGGGGCGCTTCATTGGCCCACCGGACCACGCCAGCCTCCCAGGTCAGCTCCGGAGCTGGGGCTGGGCCTGCTGAACACAGCGGCTCTTCCGTCCAGGGCAGAAGAAACATGGTTCAGTGTGCACCCGTCTTTCCAGGAACGGAAACATTTGTGTGCACACATGTGATGCGTGTGTAGACTCGACACGGCCTGAGTGGCCCCAGGGAGGGAGAGACCTCGTGGGTTGAATGTCTCCTGTGTGAGCCAGGCCAAAGCTGCCCAGGTCGGCCCTTTCTTGCCTGTGTGTTTGTTTGGCGAGCCTGCTCCCCGGGCCGCCTCTGGTCTCCTTCCTGCCAGTAAAAGGATCTCTCTCTGGGGACGACAGAGACTCCTCTGCCCCTGCCCTGGCCTGTGCCAAACAGGGAAGAGTAGAACTGGACCTTCAAGGACAGCAGCAGCTGACCTCCAGTGGCCCTCGGTTTGTCCCTGGAAGCAGTTAAATGGGTGTCAGCCTGTGTAACCCTCACGGTGACCGTGTCAGGTGGGCCGTCCGTTGTGCCAGCTTCATAGAGGAGGAGCCGAGGCCGGAGACATTGGATGGCTTCTTCAAATCCCCCGACCGGGCTCAGGGGCAGAGCTGGGCTGCCGCCACCCTGGGCAGCGTGCCTCTGGCCTCCGTGCACCTGGCCTCCCTCGGAGCCAGCCCGAGAGCTCAGGTGTCCCCCAGCCAGGCCGCCTCCGGTGCCCTGCTGGTGAGAGACGGGAGGTGTGAAGGTGGCTGGCGGCAAAGGCTTTGCCAGGTCAGATGAGCTGAGGCGAGGAAGCCCTGCTCACCGCCCGGGTGGAAAATGAGAGCGTGGGCAGCCCTCTGGGGGTGGGGGTGTCACCAGGCACAGGCGAGCTGAGGGTGGCGCCCAGACCCAGACCCACATGATTTTGGGGGCCGCGGGCGGTGAGCAGGGCTTTCTGCTAGACAGCCTCGTCGTCAGCTGTGACAGCAGAATTCTGCTGCACCGTGTCCTTCCTCCAGGGATGCGGGTTCTGTTTTTTTTTGTGTGTGTTTAAGTTAGATTCTTTATTTTATTTAATTTTTAAATTTCTCAGTAAACGCATACCCCTTCCGCCATTTCTCCCATCCTCCACGCCCGGCTCTGGTAGCCATCAGCACACTTTCCGTTTGTATGAGCCTCGTGTGTGGTTTTTTGTTTGTTTTCGTGGGCTTTTTTTTTGGATTTCACACATGAGAAAGACCATGTGGTGTTTGTCTTTCTCCGACTCATTTCACTCAGCCTAACACCCTCTAGGTCTGTCCATGTTGTTGCAAAGGGTGGGACCTCACTCCTTTTTATGACCGAGTAATATTCTATTGCATGTACGCATGGCATTCCTGTCCACGCGGCTACTGACCGGCTCGTAGCTGGTTTCCAGATCTCAGCCGCTGTGAATCGAGCTGCAGTGAGCAGAGGGGGGAAGGTGCCGTTTTGAGAAAGCGTTTTCTTTTGCTACGGGATAGTCCCACAAGTGGGATTGACGGGCCATCGGTAGTTCTATTCTTCACTTTTCAAGGACCCTCCATACTGTTTTCCACTGTGGTCACCCCCATATGCAGTCCCACCAGCAGTGCACGGGGGCCCCCTTTCTCCACATCCTCACCAATACTCACTACTTCTTGTCTTTTTGAAGGCAGTAGCCATTCTAACAGGTGTGCGGTGATACCTCACTGTGGTTTTGATTGGCATTGCCCTGATGAGAAGTGTTGAATGTTGAGCATCTTTTCACGCACCTGTTGGCCGTCATGTGTCTTCTTTGCAAAAATGTCTATTTAAGCCCTCTGCCCATTTTTTAATCTGATCTCCGTTTTTTTGCTATTGAGTTGTATGAGTTCTTTATATATTTTGGATATTGATGGATATTAACCCCTTGTGGGTGGAGGGTTTGCAAATACCTTCTCCCACCCAGGAGGCGGTCTTTTCATTCCCCCGATGGTTTCCTTGGCAATGCAGATGCATTTCAGGTCGCTGTGGTCCCACGTGCCGTTTTGTGCTTTTTTGCTGTTGCTTTTGGTGTCAAATTTGAAAACCATCTCCAAGGCCTCTGTCAAGGTGCCGACTGCTTCTGTTTTCTTCAAAGAGTTGTATGGTTTCCGATCTTACAGCCAAGCCTTCAATCTGTTCTGAGTCGATTTTGGTGTGTGGGGTAACTGGAGGCCCGGCTCCGTTCTTTTGGGTGTGACTGTTCATTTCTCAACACCGCTCATCGAAGCAGCTGTCCTTTCCCCATTCCACGTTCTGGGCTCTTTTATCATTAACAATCAATCATGTGTTCATGGGTTGATTTCCTGGGTCGATTGTATTCCACTGATTTCTGTGTCTCTTTCTACGCCAGACCCCACCGTTTTGATTACCGTAAATGTGTGATGTAGTTTTAAATCAGGAGGGAGGTTCCCTCCAGCTTTGTTCTCCTTTCTCAAGATTGCTTTGGCTACGGGGAGGTCTTTTTGTCTTTTGGATTTTTTGTGTGTGTGATTCCATACAAACTGTGGGATTATTTGTCCTATTTGAAAAATGCCATTGGAGTTTTGACAGGGATGGCCTCGAACCTAAGGCTGCTGTGGGTAGAACGGGTGTTGAAGCGATGCTGTTTCTTCCGCTGTGCGAGCACAGGACGTCTTGGTGTTTTCCCCGGCAGCGTTTATCATTGTTGTGTAGTTTTCAGTACGTGGGTCTCGTACCTCCTTGGTTCAACTTACCTCTAGGCCTCTTAATTCTTTTTGATACAATCGTTAACGGTATTGTTTTCTTTTTCTGACAGTTCGCTGTCAGCGTACTGAAAGGCGACAGTTTTTCTGGGCATTGATTCTGTCACCGGAGGCAGGTTTCGTTTGCGGTCACAGGCCAGCAAACCGGTGGCCGGGGTGTCCTGGGACTCGGACGGCCGCCACCCCGACTCCTGCCAGCTCGGCTGTTCTCGGCCCTGAGGTCTCAG